GAGAGTGCCTGTCGCTAGCACAGCCGCCAGCCTAGGGGCACCTACTGTCTTCTCCTGGGTGTCAGGTTGTAGTGTTCGGCCTTTTGACCACTAAAGAGCAGTGGCTTTATTTTTATTTTAGCCGCACAGCACCAGGGAAAAGAGGTAATTGGATTAAATTGATGGTCTTCCTTCTGGGGCTCAGCAAAGCCCACAAACGCCTCTTTAATATGCTAACATATCGGGTCGTTTCCACGACGCATCTTCCGAAGGCGCTTTTCTTCCCGCACAAAGGCCCGGGAGCCCATCACCGTGCGCCGCGCCGGGCGGCGGCTCCCGGCCGCGCTCAAGGAAGGTGAAGGGGGGACTGGGACGCTGTTCTTGAGTAGACAAGTGCTTCTGCAGGGCAGAGAGCCGCGCTCTGCCCAGACCCCCCTTCTGTAAACACAAAGAAAGGGGGCCTGGGGAATAGAAACCCAAATCCACTTGTAATCGTACAAGGGAATCGGGCGTAATTACTCGAGCAGCCTTGATGAAGATTGATGAGACTTTAACGCGGCGTTTCGGATCGATCACCCTGCCCTGCGGAGCCTGCAGCCGGGCTTCCCCGGCCCGGCCCAGCTCGGCTCGGCTCCTTCCTCACCGCCAAGGGAGGGAGGGAAGATGGAGGAGAGACAGGGGGAGCAGCAAAGCGAGCCCGGCGCGTGTGGTTCTGATCAGCTGACTAGGGTCAAGAGGCTACCCCGGTTTATTAGGAGATGGAAAACAATAAAATGAAAGAAAATAGAGTTTGTATCAATATTATCCAGCCTGCCACACTGGGCTGCTGAAAGCTGTCACTGAAACTACACGCTTTAGCTTCCCTTTGTATATACGGTAACCCGTGCCTTCCGCTTTATTTATTTTGCAGAATAAATGACAAAACATTGTGCAATACGGGCTCAAATTGGGTGTTACAGTAAAGTAAAATATTAACAACATGACAGATGCGCTGATACAGGACTAATTTGGTTTAAGTGAGTAATTGGAAGTGTCGCTTACATGATCTGGTAGTAAAGCATATGGGATACTGGGGGAGGAGGAAAGGTTGCATCCATGCCCTTGGTCTGGGTGCCAAGTGTGGCCCAGGGCTCACCTCCACTGTACTGGGCTCCCCGATCATGGAGAGCCGTCATCCCCAGAGATATGGGTGCCCGGGGCCTGCAGGCCCTCCCTGCTGTCCGAGCAAGGTCTTCTCTATGGCACAGGAGAATTCAACTGCACAAACCAAGCAAACCCGTTTTAGCATTCACTGGGATAATCAGTTTGCCAGTTTTCAAAAGGTGCTTCAGTCATGTCTGTAGCTTCTCAGTACTGAGGCTTTATTATTTGTACATCAGATGTGTGTGTGTGCCTGCACGTGGATATGTGTATTTATATATGTGTATACAAATTACCCTGCACGCTTTAGTGGTTAAATCTTGAAAAGTGGTTTATTTTCAATCTTTTAATTAGAGCAAGTGAGCTTCCTATACATGGACACTGTCACCTTTACAGGAGATTTCATTTGTATCGAAGATGGTGAAAAAAAAAAAGATCCTCCTGTTCTCTTTTGCATTAAAGCAGAAGGTTGTGGGTTTTTTTTCCCATAATTAAACCCTAACAATTTGTGCGGAGGAATCTGCTTTTTATAATAGGTTTTCCCAACCCCCTCTCTTCAGTGCCCGTGTAAGCATCTCGATATGGAATATATTTGAGCGAAATATTGTTACCGTAATTTTAAGAGGATTAAGTGGCAGCAAGCTGAAATAAAAATGATGTTGCCGTAAATATATTTAACGATGCTAGCTTTTGCGTGCTTTTGGTATGGAAGTAGGTAAAAACCCCATAATTTTTCGCTATGCTTTTGGAGTTGAACTCTGGACCCAGAGTTAATAATAATGTCCCCAGGCTCCGCAGGACCGATGTAGTGGGCAGGGGCTGCTGGCCGGGGGCTGCTCTGCCGCCCGTTCGCCACGGCCCGAATCCATCGCTTTCAGGTCGAAGCTGGGTGTAACGAGTTGCCGCTATCGCACATAAACAGCGGTAGTCTTAACGAGGAGCAAAGGGGCATGAAAAGAGAAGGGACCTACTTCTAAAAGGCAGCTATTTTTCACTCTAACTCCTCTGAATTTCGCTGCTGGCTGATTTATCTCGCAACCCCGGAGCTCACAAACTCGCCTCTGTCCTGACCACGGAGTTCAAAGCACTGACCGCGGGCAGGAGGGGAATGAACACGGGGGTTTACAAACGGAGTTTATGAGGGGGCTCGCCGGGCACTGGCTTGGCGGAGGGGAGGGGAAGGGCCACCGGGAATGGGCCGGCCGGGCGCCTCCAGCCTGACCCTCGCTTTGCCTTGCAGGCCCTGTGGTCCTCAGCACACCGGCACAGCTCATCGCCCCCGTGGTGGTGGCCAAGGGGACGTTGTCCATCACCACCACGGAAATCTATTTCGAGGTGGACGAGGATGACCCGGCCTTCAAGAAGATCGACCCCAAGGTGAGTGCGGCCGGCGGGCGGCTCGGGCCCCCTCCTCATCTTCATCTCCGTCTTCATGACCATCCCCGGTCCTGGTCCCGGCACACGTGGGCCGAGGCTGCCCTTCCCCCCGCTCCAGACTCCCGTCTGCCGCCTCTCGCTGCGTTTTATTTAAAGAAAAGAAAAAAAAAAAAAGCGCAATGTATTAATGATGTTAAATCCTCTGTTACTCAGCGTGCGCGTTTTCCAACAGCCTTTCGCTCGGTGCCTTTGTATGAACGTGGTCAGATTTAGCAGTTAAGCCAATTGCTCTGAAATCCCTGGAGAGAGCATCAGCCCCAGCCCCAGTCCCAGCCCTCAGCCTTTCCGAGGCACAGCGGTTTTTTTGCCCTTCCGAGGATATCGTAGAATCCCGTTATTTCAAGAACGTTAGTTTCCGTGTAAGAAAATACGACGCATTTTGTAAACACTCTGACTGCTGAAATGCAAGGTCATGCTGATTTTCGGGGGGGGGGGGGGGGGGGGGCGAAAGAAGGAAAAGGAAAAGAGAAATAGGCATGTGCCCAAGACTTGATTCCTGGGAAAGCTCTGGGTTTTTTCTCAAGTCATTTACTACTACCAGTTCTCTAGCGCCTCCTCCCCCCTCCGCGGAAGCCTCCAGCCCAGCCGCCGCAAAGCAGGGGTGCGTGACTGGAGCGGAAACCTTTCCGTGGCTTCCTCCCGCGGGCGCGGAGCGGGGGCTGCCGCGGGGGGGGGGGTCAGGGGGTGCGGAGGGGCCGTCTGTTACAGGGTCTTTTTTAGCCTTATCGCTGTTACTGCGCTGGGAAATGTTAGAAGAGAAAAAAATGGGGAGGTGCCTCTGGTTTGTTTGGGTTTTGGTTTTCCTGAAGAAATATCAGAAATAATTTCCAAGAAAATTCTAGCGACCTCGTCTGAATATGTTTATAATATAGCGATTTCTCTTTTGCGAATAATTTCTCAAACTCTGAACTTTCTTTGCAGTGCTGGGAAAAAAAAAAAAAAAACCAAAACAAAAAACAACTGTCAGAATCACTTGGGATAACGATTTCGTTAGGGAAATATTTCCCACTGGAAACAGTTGCTAGTGGGTGTTACACAGGCGATCGGCCTCTTTCAGCACTTGTTGACTGTCAGGGTACTAAACCGATTCCGCGTTGTGATTCTGCGTTTTGATTTTAAAGCCGTTTTAAGAAAGGCGCAGTAAAAAGGACCAGGCGCTGAGGTACGGAGAGGCAATGTTGGATCGCTTGCAGTTCTGTAGCCACACACACGTTATTCCCTTAGAATGCCCTGGGAGCGCAGGGGCTTGATTTCTAGGAGTACAACTGGCAATCTTATCACATTCATAACGGATTTGTAGGTCAGAAGTAATATTGTTCACTTTATTGGTGCCGGCTTGAACCTTTCACATATAAATTTTATTTTCTTCTTTATTACTACTTGTGCAAAAACATGAGTTTTATCAGGTTTACTGCTTGGCTTACTCGGTACACTGGCTACTGAAGGGATACGTTGTGTTTCCTCAGCTTTGCTCATCACCGAACAGAAACACAGCAGTGCCATGTAGTAAACCTTTCGAAAACAGATTTCTTTTCTGACGGCTGAAAAAAACTGTTACTGCATGAATAACAACATCGGTGTCTGACAGATGCTGATGGTCATGTGGAGATACATTCTTCTAAATTCTGGTGTGTCTGGAGCACCAATATTTCCCTGTTCTATAAAACTATTAAAAATGCAAAAATCAGGCGTCTGCCCCCAAGTTTTCAGCTTTACAGGGTTTAAGCAACTATGCACAGGAAGGCAAAATTCACAAAACATAGCTGCCTCTGTTTTTTCAAGTAGAAAACTTGATCCAGTATTGAAACGCTTACCCATATGCATTTTACTTCATTTATTAGCTTGTAATTAAATAAACCAGCAACAGAAATTAAAATCTAAATCACAAAAGGTAATTTTCCAGTGTATTTCAAGTGCATTTTCAAATATATAACTCCAATATTCAAGCGTTATTATATAAGCAGAATCCAAATTTCTTTTGAATATATTTAAATAACATTTCAAGTATATTTATGGAATGTTAGAAATAGAACAAGCAATATATATGAAACGAAAAATGTAAACTTGTTAAGTTCAGACACTTCCAAAGACAATTAACAAAAGTACCATGATAAAATCTACCTTTTTTAATGGTATCTTCTCTTTAGCAGAAAATGTCCTTGAAGTATCCAAAATGGCAATTTAACTTCTGTTCACCAAATCACAAAACACCAACATCCACAATTTCAAAGACAATGTGAGATCACAATATTTGATACAAATCAAAGGTACATTAGGGTTTGTTCAGGTGGCATATCCAAATAGCTTTTACTCACAAAGGGTTTACATAAAAATACTGGGGTTTATTATAATCCATTGGTACCGTTTCTAGGCTGAATGGTCACAATCAAGTTAAATAACGGCCAATTTTCTTTTCTAGGTAACACACTTTTTTATCATTACTGTTTTCCTTTTTATTTTTTTTTTTTTTCTTTCACGGGGAACTGCAAAATTGTGACCAAGATAAGAGAGGAACGATATTTGATGTTGTTTTTCTTTGTGAAGAGCCTAAGCTATATTCCTTTTTGAAAGAGAACATTATTTGTATTGTCAAATGGAAACGTTTGACTTTTCGAACAGGCAGGTTAAACTTCATCGGGAAATAAGCAGATTTGTCGTTAGGGCCGGTTTTATAGTTACCCTCTAAAGTTTCTCCAAACTTTTCGGGTTGGTAAGTATTTCCCTAGCCAGTCGCCACGTTTGTTTTGCCGCGTTTTCAAGGGCCGAGTGAGGTTTGCCCTGAAAGAGGTCTAAATTGGGCAAGAAGTAATGCGGGCACCTCCTGCACTGGAGGCAGGAGATGAGCTGCAGTAAAATCCCGTTGAGCCTATCGCCCAGGCACGACTCGTCCCAGTCCGATTCGCGGGGATGCTTTTCGCACTCGTAGGAAACCAGAGTCTTCATGTGATAATTATTCAGGGGCTGGCCCGGCAGCTCCAGGTGACGGTCCCGTAAGGTTTTGAGGATAGAGAGGCATTTCTTCCTGCAGCCGCCCATCTGCAGTCTGTTCTCGGCTTCCGCGAACTGCAGGACCCAGGCATCGCTCTCGGCCGAGCTTTGCTTGCCGGCCAGAGAGTGGCACTCCTTGGACAAGAGGTTGAAGCCTTCCGCCTTGACCTCGGCCACCCTGTTGGGTCCCGGCCAGGGGATGTGGGGGAGCGGCCAGTGGGCAGCGCTCCGAGGCCAGATCCCCGTGCACTTGAACGCCGGAGTGATCTGCACCACGTACCGATCCCTGATCCTCAGCTTCACCTCGCTAGTGTCTGCCACCATCTTTACCACGTCTCTGTAACTGCACTTATCCACGGCTTGAGCCACCAGAGTCTGAAATCTGGACCGGATTTTGCGAGCGGAGAGGTAGCCAGACGCCGTGATGAACTCCACCCAGAGGGACATACTCCTCTTTCGCCCGTCGCTTAACTTTAACACAGCGCAGCCCGGCAAGGAGCCGTCGTCCACGAAGTTGAATACCCCCATTTGGTTCAGGTACAGCACGACTTCAAACTCCGTGGGGGAGATAACTTCCAACCCCTCGTAGCGATTGTCCATCTCGTTCAAGGAACTGATGAAGCGAGGCTCCTGCACCTCCACCTCCTTCAGCACGTCCGACACCACTTTGCAGACTTCTCGAATTGTTTTGGCGATGGCAGCTTTCCTGGCTTGGCATTTCTCGTTGTAGTATTTATTCAAGTGATACACCAGCTTGGCCTGGGCCGCGATCATGTTGGGGCAGAGATCCGGGTTGTATACCGGAGTCTCGCAATAGGCTGTGGGATCCAATGCGGCTGCTAAGGCTGGAGCCAACTTCAGAGGAATAACAGGCTGCCGCACTCTGAAATGTAACAAATGTTTTTCAAAATGCGCCGGGGCTGCTGCTCCTCAGATGCTCTCTTCCTGCTTTTTTAGATCAGCCGTCTTGAAGTGTGTGTGGCGGGGAGGGGGGGTTGGGGGGCGGGGGACTGGAGGGGGAGATATTTTTCCTCCCCCTTTTTTTAAAGGGTCCGTAAGTGAGAGGAAAGCATCGAGAGCTGCACCTTCCCCCGCAGCAAGAAAAACAAAAGTTGCAGTGAGGCACAGTGAGGCTTCCAGTAGTCAAAATAATAAAACCTCTTCGTATTTATTTATGTTTTCCCGTAGTAATCACTGTGTGTATGCAGGGTGGTTAATCAGATGGTGGTGGGGGGAAAAAAGTGCCGTGTGTGTGTGTATATGTCAGAAGAAGCTGGCTGTTGGTTTGTATAAGAGCCCAGATGCACTCGTGTGGAAATTATAAAGGCAGGGCCAGGCAGGCGGGCGGCCAATCGCCACTGGGCTCGTCACTGCAGCCTCTTTCAGCTCAAACCCGGCTAATTAATCCCTCTCTCGGAGATAGATATGTATACACACACACGCACACAGGCACATATAGAGAGGTAGAAGGTTACTGGTTGAAAAACCTCGCCGATCATCTGTGCACTCGGAAACCGGGAGAAATCGCTCTCCTTGCGGTGTAACGTGCAGGGTATTGACGTTTCGAAGGGACTCGGCAGAAGGGTGCCGCTCTGCAGTGCGCCCGCCGTGCTTCCCCTGGCCGCGGCGCGGGTGCAGGTGTATTTCCGGGCATCCCCCACCTCGGGAGCCACACACCGGGCTCGCTCCTGCGAGGTCATTGACTCACACTCGGCAGCACATCACGCTGTCCTTTCCTCCTGATAGTAGCCTCTAACAGCAAGAGAGAAGTTCTTGGTTTATTTTTTCCTCTCGTGAATCGGTCAGTGAAGAAGGCAGCAGATTCACGGCAAATTTAGTGTCCTTTGGAATAAAGTATCACGCAAAAGTCCTCGATTTGTATTGTTCTAAAAGATCTTCTGACGGGCTCTAATCGATTTTGAGGCTTAATGCATTTCGGCATTGCTTCTGCCTGGCTTTTTGTGTTTGTACCTCGCAAGGGAGAATCAATCGCTAAACTTACTTGTCAGGTCTTTTTCACGTTTCCTCCAGAAATATAGCAGATATGAACGGTAAATCTCATCTGCCAGTTCTTAGCTTTGTTTTTATATTCCGAATAGCACTCCGATATATTGTGAAGAGTGGATGCTCAGCTGCTTTTTGAGGCGCCACTATAAGTATCTATTAATTTCAAACTCGGACGATTTATCGTATAGCGAGCTCTGCTAGCAAGCTGCGTTTAGTAAATGTGCACACGGGAGGCATGCTAGCGACTGCATGCATGCTGGCATGCTACGAATCTGACAGTTTGGGGTTTCGTGTGTTTGATGCGTAATTAGCAAATTTTGCCTTCAGTACTTTAAGTGTTAGGAACCGGGACCTTTATTTGCAAATAAGCTGGAGTGGCAAAGTGTTCTGCTTTGCAGCATTTACCGAGCTTCACTTAAAAAGAATCCTTAATTATAAATGTATGTGTGTGTTATACACAAGAGCAAAGCTTTTAATCGCCTGGAATCTTGAATCCACTGCCCGATTACTAATTCTTAAAGTCACTGTCACAGGCATATATAAGGAGAAGTCATACCACAAAGAACATTTCACATTTATTCACCGTATTAATAAGACCAACTTTATTGGACATATCGGAGAATTTCTGATTTTGTGCTTGGCTCGCTCGGTCTGGCGTTTATACGGGTGCTCCCCGTGCCGCTTCCCAGGAGGAAGCTGATGCGGGAATAATTTTCTGCCCATTCGTGAAGTAGGGCTGGGGCTGTCTTGGGGCGCCACGCTGAAGAACTGCAGGTGACAGCTCGTCCCGAAGCAGCTTTTCCTCTCCCCGGCCGCAGCCCCTCCTGCCGACGGCGGAGAGGCGGCCTCTTTCTGGCTATTCGGGCTAAGAGGAGCTGGTTTCCTGCCAGCTCTTCTCCCTCCTCCGGGTAGTTTCCCGGCCAGGCGGCGTGACACACGTGGCTTGCCCCGGCCGCGACCGAGCTGCCGGCAGTGGAGACACACCGCACCGGTCCCGGGGCCTTCCGAGCCGCCGCCCGGGACCTGGGCTGCCCCCGCTTTCCCCGAGCAGGCACTTAGGGGGCTCCTGGCTGGGTCGGAGGGGACAGCCCGGCGCCTCCCCGCCGCCGCCGTCCCCCCGCTGTTCTTACTGGCGGCTGCCCCCAGGTGCACGGGGAACCTGACGCGGTGGGGTTGGGGACGGCCATCGCCCCCCTCCCTGGCAGCCGGCTCGGTGGCACCGCCGCAGGCCCCGTCGGCGGGCGGGGAGGGGGAGGCACCAAGCCGGCTAGGCACATCCCGCCCTACTGCCCCCGCCGAAGGGGCTCAGACGACCCCTCCTTCCCCCGCCCGCCCCTCGGGGCCGGGGGCGATGCCGGTCGCGCCCTGCCTTCAGATGCGGGTGCGGTGCTCGTCGGAGCAGGGCACGGGCGGGGTGTGCGGAGGAAGGAAAAGCGGCGAAGTTGGGTCTAACTCTGGCGGGCGGGTCCCGGGGACTTCGTGGGGCGGGGGATGCCTGCGGCGGTGCTGGCTGAGGCCCTGCTTGCTGCCCTGGTGCGGCGGCGGCGGCCGCTCGGTCCCGGAGCCGGCCATCGCGAAATCTCCAGCCTTGCCTGGTCCGGGGTGGTTTCTTTCCGGTTTAAATAAGAAAAAGCGCCTTCTCCGCGAGGTTTCATACCGCAGCGATGTCAAAACGAAAGTTAGAGCTGCCGGAAAAAAGGTTGTGCCTCCCGCCCATCTCCGCCGAGTGAACAGCCCGTCCCTGCGGCGGCCCCTGGGCTCCCCAGCCCTTCCCCAGCGCTTAGGCTCTCCATCCTGGCCTCAGCTCCTTGGTTCCTCAATCCCTCGGCTCCCCATCCCTCCCCAACCGCATGGTGCCCCATCCCTCTCCATCCCCTCGTCTCTTCATCCCTTCCTCATCCCCTCGGCTCCCCATCCCTCCCCGTGCCGTCCCAGCCCCTCGGCCGCACCGGCGCTGCACGCTGGGGGTGGCAGCATTTCGGAGAGGTTTTATTTTTGCTCTGTGGTCTTATCTCGGTGAATCCAGTTGCTGCAGGCAAAAGGCGACAGGTCGAACCTTTAAGGTGTCAGAAAGCTTAATTTTCATAATGTGGCAAAATTAATTTAACTTAAATTACGTCATATCCTAAGTCAGAGCTTTCAGTGTATAATGCTAAGATCAATTTACGGTATCAAGTAATGCAGGTTATACGTATTTACTGTACCTTGGTGGCTATGGGAAACACTAGCTTTAGTTTTGGCTGGGCGATGTGTAGCAGAGAAGGTTGCTATTGACTTCACTGTGTCGTTTCATTTCACGTGTACACAATAAACTTTTGATAGTTTGGAGATTTGTGGATTTAGGCATCGCTGACACCAGTCAACCACTGAAATGTGACTGCTTAGGTGACTCGATCGTTTAACATGACAAGAAAGTCGGTGATTTGGTTTAGATTCTGAAAATTATTATCTGTTTGAGTAAATATGACACAAAATATGAATATTTTCGAAGCTTCTGAGCACTTACTGCAGTTAGTTTTTCTCTGTAGTTATCAATATGTCCTTCATAAATAACAAAGGAAAGAACACCTTTTCATCACTGAGTTCTATTTTTATATGTACTGAGTTGTTTTGGAAAATTCGGATTAAAATCACCTCATTAAAATGATGATTGATCATTTGTCATGATAATGGTACCATATGATATGGGTGACTTTTACCAAATTACTGTTTTCTAGATACTTACTCCTAATTAGGGGTACTATAACAGTAGTTGTGGAACTCTGCTGCTTAGTTCCCATCTTTCAAACTGCAGTGCCTTGTCAGATAGTGCTCACGTTAGCCAAATGATGTTGAAAATCTTTGACTGCAGGTACTCGCCCACTCCCCTCAAACGGGATTTGAAAATGAAAGAGAAGAAAAAAAGAACACTGCCATATATAAATTTCACCAATAATTTCATATGGTGAAAAGTGGAGTTAAAATGCACATGCAGATGCATATATGCACAAAGTGCTTGCACTGATATCACTTTATATTTCTTATGATATAGTGATGGTTATTCCACACACAACTGCTCATGAATTTTAAAGTTTTATTTTTTAATATCTGCCTATTGCACTAGGGAGCCAGGAAAAAAATGAAGCCGAGTTGATTAAATTATTTATCCCTACTGGTGAAGTGAGTTTGAAGGCTCATTGAATGTATCTGATTTCTTGGCTCTTCTTTCTCCCCTTCCCTCCTGAATTCATACTGGTTATTTCATCCGTATCATCCTGCCAGCAACAATAAATTTACTTTTTTCCAAGTAGGAAAACTAAAGACATATATTTGTGCCGAGTTTGCTTTAAGTGTCATATTATATAAAATAGGCAGCATCAATTTTTGATGATAGAAGTTGATAGTACCTGTGGTTTTCTGTATTCTTATTTTGTAGTTTACTTTTTGCCTCCACATTCAAATTTAGGAGCAAGTGAAATGTTTAAATGCAAGTTGCTACAGTATTTGCAAAAGTGCAATTTTAATAAATGTGTATAAATTTCTGTATAATTTGGTATGCATTTTTCTTCCATTATCTACAATATTCTGCAAATGGTTTTTATTCTTTTTTAAAAATGGGATGTAGCTACTTTTTACAGTACACAGGTACCATTCATTAGTGCTAAATGTGTGCATGTATTCTCTTCCAATTAAAAATAATGCTAATAAAAATCATCAATTTTTATATAACATGAAAATAGTTTGCAGTACTGTTGGACTTAGTCATCCTAGGTCTTTTGGATGAACTGTTAATGATTTAAATTCTTCTAATCTGCAGTCTGTTAAGGGAAAAAACAGTAATTGATTTGTTTTATATAAAACATTATGTCTCAAAAGTAAGCATGGAGGTTTCACAGCTGTAATTTAGCTAGAACTGCGGAAACATTCAAGCAGGGGAAAAAATGCATTGAATTATTCATTTGGTTCACTTCTCCATCAGCTTCTCCGAAGCCAGACATTCCTTAAGGTATAGTGTTTTATTTAAGCAGTCAGCACTGGTTGTTTTTTTTTTTTATTTTATTTTTTTTTTAATCTGCTTGGAGAATGCTCTTTTCTGCTGAACTGTGGGGGGAGTGTGGAATCAGTGGGGATTAGCACCTTTTAATCTACTACATCTGTAGTGGGTCATCCAACACTGCAGAACTCTCATTACTCTCTCATCCCGTATATGATTAAATGACTGAAAATATTCAATGTTGACCTTGAAAATAAAGCTGTA